CTGCTCCCCACTCTGTCTCTGGTGAAGCCTCTCACTGCCCCTGAGCCTCTGGCCTATACCCCAGTTCTGTATGCACAAATAAATAAATCTTTAAATAATAATAATAATAATAATATAATAGTTTATGTTTACATCTTTTTGTGCCTTTTTCCATGTCAGTTAGTGTCTTGTTTTAATGAATTTCTCTCACTATGCAAAAGCTTTTAAGTTTGATGTAGTCCCAATTATTTATATTCTCTTGTTTTCCTTACCATTGGAGACAAATCAAAAAAGATATCACTGAAGCCAATGTTATGGAATGTTTTATCTATGTTTCCTTCTATGAATTTTGTGGTTTGAAGTATCACATCCATTTTGAATAAAAAAAATTTTGTAGATAATATGAGATAATGGTGATGTTTCATTCTTTTGTATGTTGATGTTAAGTATACCCACCACCATTTGTTTAAGAGACTTTTCTTTTTTGCAATAATACTCTTGATTCCATTGTCTTAGGTTAACCAACCGCATAAGTATAGATTTATTTCTGGTCTCTCAGTTGTATTCCATTGTCCTGTTTTTATTCTAGTACCATGCTGTTTTTGTTACTATGTCAAGTACCAATTTGGTAGTATAATTTGAATTCTGGAATTATGATACCACTGTTGTTCTTTATTGTCAGAATTGCTTTGATTTTTGGAGGTCTTTTTGTTTCCATAAGAATTTCAGTCGTGTTTATTTCTTTGATTAAATTCATATCATCAGTGTATGTTTAAATAAAACTTAAGTTCTCAGTGTAGTAATATTAACTATTACTCTTGACTGTGCAGATCTCTAAGACTTATTCATATCTTGAAAAATTATGCCTTTTGAATAGCAATGCCCATGCCCTCTTCCTGAAACCTCTAGGGATCATTAATCTAGTCTCTGAATCTATGATTTTGATTACCATAAATACTGATATAAACTTGAATTGTGTACTAATTCTCATATAAAAGTATTTATCGGCCCTCCCTGGTGGCGCAGTGGGTTAAAGCACAGCACTGAGAAGCTAAAGCCGCTTCCGCATGAGTTCGATTCCCGCCTGCCCCGGAGGTGACCACATGGTGTGGCAGACCTCTCCTGACCCACCCGCTGCTCCCCTCAGCAGTGTACTACGTCGATCTGCCTGTTCTGCTCCCCACTCTGTCTCTGGTGAAGCCTCTCACCGCCCCTGAGCCTCTGGCCTGTACCCCAGTTCTGTATGCACAAATAAATAAATCTTTAAAAAAAAAAAAAAAAGTATTTATCCTTCTCTAACTACCTTATTTCACTTCAGAGTCCTCCATATTCATCCATGTTTTTCACATGGGGTAGAATTTAATTTGCTTTAAAGGATCAGTGAATTTTGATGTATATATAATGTATATCTATTGAGACATACAAATATACTATATTATATAAATATATATGAATAATTATTCCACTTATATATTCTCAAAAGAAAATATATTTATATTCATGGGTAAATGTATCTATATATATAAGTATATGTGATTATGTAAATTAAATATATAAGTAATACATTTAAATAATTTACTATTTACATTATTTATATATGAATATATTTTGATATCTATACAATATAAAAATTTATAGGGCCACCCTGGTGGTGCAAGGGGTTGGGACACAGAACTATGGTGTTATCCACAGCCATTGCAACATGAGTTTGATCCCCAGCCCCAGAGGTGATCCACATGGTGCAGCAAACCTCTCTTGTTCACCCGCTGTTCCCCTCTGCAGTGAATACCCTCTGGTGAATCCTTCCAAACTCCCACACATCTGACTTATACCCCAGTTCTTGTATGCAGAAGAAAATAAATTTAATTAAATATACGTGTATAATTGCACGTATATTTACATATAAATATATGATGCATTATATGTATATATTTGTTATATGCAATATACATATATAAATACACCACATTTTCTTTATCCATTCATATATCCATATATGTTGATTGTTTCCATGTCTTGATTATTGGAAATGCTGCATTTAACATCAAAACACAACTATCTCTTCTATGATTTCACTTATTTTAGCTATTTATTTCCTGAATTTCAGGAGGCCTGGTATTGTTTTCCATAGTTTCTATGCCATTTTGCACCCCCACCGTGTACCATGGTTCTAGTTTCCGCACAGCTTTGCCAATCTATATTATAACATTTTCTTTCATGATAGTGGTAAAAATGGGAGTGAAATGATAGCTTCTTGTTCCTTATATTTTCATTTTCCTTATGATTGGTAATGCTGAGGACCTATCTGTAAACATCTAGGGCTCTTGTATGTCTTCTTGTCCCTTTTTAAAACATTGAATTGCTTTTGTTTTTGTTATTTTATTATTTTTTATTTGCTATTGAGCTGTAAACTGAGATTGGAAACTCCTTATAACTCCTTATAAGGCATATGATTTGCATACATTTTATCCCATCCCATACATTGCCTTTACATTTTGTTGATTGTTTCCTTTTTTGTACAGAAGTATTTTAGTTTATTATAATCCTGCTTATCTATGTATGCTTTGTTGCAACAAAACTCCAAGGAATTATTTTATAGAAATAGAAAAAAAAAATCTCAAAGTTCATGGGAAACCACAAAAGACTCATAATGTCTAAAGCAATCTTGAGAGAGTAAAACAAATCTAGAGGCATCACACTTCATGATTCCTAAATATATTGTAAAACTACTGGAATTCAAGCCATATGAAACTGATATAAATACAGATACATAGACAATGAAATGGCACAGAATGCCCAGAA